TTCCTTTTCCCTCAATAGTAACCTTCTTTATGTAACAGGCTGCAGCGTGTTAATTAAGTCTGGTTTTCTGGAATAAAATATGTCTTTTGAAAATCCCGTAAAGCCCCTAATAGATGGTAAGTGGTCATCTTTCCCATCTTTCTATTCTTTCAAATTGCAACTCCTCTGTTTGAAGTAATCCATGAGATTTTAGAGTTCTTCTTTCATAAGAACATAGTTGCATCCAAATCACACAGGAATACCAACCTGGACTTGTGTAGTTTTGCAATTCTTATTCTTATTGGCCTCACTCAAAAGGTTGTCTCATTGGATGTGCCAAAACATGCTGTGTGCCCTGAGGTTCTCAAGCCAGTTAAGCCTAACAAGAGTCAGTAGCTTCACTCTGTAATTTTGATAGTGTTCCCTAATACTAGTAGAAGTTGAAATTCTCAGTAAAGAATAAACACATCAAATTAAAGAACTAGATGTCCTTTAATCAAACATTCAAATTGAAAATATCAAGATTAACAAATAGTTCATTTTCTCTTTAAACTACACATTTTCTCTGTACGCTAAACAGCTCTAGAAAGAATGACCCAAGAATGTAGCAAGAAGCACTTCAATCGCAGACTTTTCCTTCTAAGCAACAATTCCCACTAGAAATAACCAGCGCTCCTTAGAGAAATGAAAGATTCAGCTCTTGAGTAAGAGTAAGATGCCTGTGAAACCTCTCACCCTACAGAGAGCAAGGAAGCTATGAAAAAGAAGTTTACACTTAGGGCTAGGTCTGGTTTTCAAATGTGTGTGTGTGTGTGTGTGTGTATGTGTGTGTGTGTATTTCCATATTGGAGTTTATTTCTGATGTATTTTGCCATTGTGGGTAGCCTTCTTGAATTTTTGTTACATGATTTATGAAACCCAGGAGTAATGAACCCATAGAGAAAATAACTCAAATAAGGGTTCCTGGAGGGGTCATCAGGGAGATAGATGTGGGGTAAAGGGAAGCTAATATTAGGGAATTCAAGAAGGAAAAAAATGTTTTGAAACAGATTGTAGTAACAATACTGCTTGATGTATTTAAACTATGAAATAGTATGATGTCTAGGTTAGCTCCTAATAAAATGGTTTGGAAAAAATAAAATTTAAATTAAAAAAAATTCACATCCAAAGACATGGAAGTCAACTTGAATTACCTTCCAAATAGCAAAGATGGGAAGAGATATTCTGAGAAATAAAGAAAACAATTATTGTAGTGGTATTAAAAACATAAATGAAAAACAAAAAAGAGGAGCTGACACCAAGGGCTCAAGTAGAAAGAAAATGTTTTGAAAATGATGATGGCAACAAATGTACAGATGTGCTTGACACAATGTATGAATGGATGGATTGTGATAAGAGTTGTATGAGTCCCCAATAAAATGATTTTAAAAAAAAGAAATATATTGAAAACCAACAAGTTCAAAATAATGCAGAAAACAATTAAATTTTAAAAATGGACAGTCATCACTGAACTCTATTATTTCATTTTCTGTGTGGCTACTGTAAATGATATTGTTTTCATGATTTCTTTTTCAGAGCTCTCTTCCAGGAAGCTCTTACAATAATTCAACTGATTTTTGTGTGTTAATATTGTACTTTGCCATGCTGCCAAATCTTTCAATGATATTATATATTGTTTGTCAATTATCTGGGATTTTCTATGTATAAAATCATATCATCTGTGAATAGAGAAAATTTTACTCTTTTTTGACTATTTTGGGTGCCTTTGATTTATTTTTGTTGTCCAATAGCTAAAGTTTCCATGGCAATACTGACTGAGCGTGTTGGTACAGGGCACCCTGTCTAGTTCCTGTTTACAAAGAGAAGCTTTCAGTTTCTCTCCACTGAGCCACATGTTGGCACTAGTTTTGCCAATATGCCTTTTATTATGTTGAGAAATTTACCTTCTGATGCTATTTTGTTGAGTGTTTATATCAAAAACGGATACTGAATTTTGTCAAATGTCTTTTCTGCAATTGATATAATCATACAGTTTCATCCTTAGTTTTATTTCTCTGTAGTGGATTACCTTGATTTTTCCCCCAATGTTAAACCACCTATGTATACCTGTTATAAATCTTCCTTGATCATAGTGTATTTTTTTAATATTCTGTTTTATTCTCTTGGATAAGATTTTGTTGAGTTTTTTTGCATCTATATTGATAAAGGACAATGAGCTGTAGTTTTTTATCCTCACAACATCTTTGCCTGGTTTTAGTAGCAGGGTTATGTTTGCTTTACAAAATGGTGCCAGAGTTTGCTATCCTTGCCTATATTCTGAAATTTTAAATGTAGAATTAGTGTTAACTCTCCTCTAAACCCTTGGTAGAATTCCCTGGTGAAACTACCTGTTCCTGAACCTTTGCTTATTCTGGATTTTTTTGTTATCTATTTCTTCTTTTGTTATTGGTCTGTGGAGATTTATACATCATGCTGTGTTAATTTGGGTATGTAGTGTGTTTCTTCTACATTTTCCAATGTGTTTGGAGAACCATCTTTCCTAACATTGTGTTGGGGTCTTTTTTATTTCTGCTGCTTCTGTTTTCATGTAGTCCTTTCTTATTCTTCATATTTGCATCTTCTCTTTCTTTTCCTTCATTAAATCTCCCAGTGGTTTATTCATTTTGTTACTCCTTTAAAAGAACTAATTTCTTTTTTGTTGATTTTTTTCCTGTTGGTTTTCTGCTTTCCAATTCATTTATTCCTGCTCAAATCTTTATTGTTTATTTTTGAAGATTATGTTGTTGCTCTGTTCTAGTTGTTGAAGATGACGGGTTCTTCAATTATCCAGGTTTGGGGGTTTGGTTTGTTTGTTTTTTTAAGTATAATGTTGTTCAGTTTCCATGTATGTGATCTTGCCCTTTAATCTTATTATTGCTGATTTCTAATTTTATAATCTGAGAAAATGATTCATACTATCTCAATGTTCTTAATGTTCTTAAATATATTAAAATAAGCGAGAGAGAAATTTTTTCTCATGGAACAAATGAGAAATATTTAAACCTAGAGCAAATTTAGGTTGGGTCAAGAGGGAGGTTAACTGAATAGGTATATTATACCATAATTCCATCCACTATAATCAAGTTTACAATCATCTCTGAAAATTAGGTTTTATGTTAACATGGATGGGCCACGATTCTTGAGATGATATAACATGGTGTGCTCAACTGCATGATGGGATCTTCTGTGAAGTAGCCAAGCAGTTGTTGGTAGAATAGGGTGGAGTACAACCTCCTTAATCTGGTCACAGTCTTACCATACTTGAGGGAGGTTCCACTAGGGGAGTGGCCAACTGTGGTAGTTACATAATCTGGTGTCCATTTGAGAGGATTACAAGTGAAGGGGTGGAGTCTGGCCTGTCAATCAAAATATAACCTATGAGGCCTCTGTGTGGGCATGGCCTTCTCCTGAAAATTCTGGGAACTCCAGTATTTTCTTCCTTGGAGACAGGAGACTCTTTCTCTTTCTGCTCACTGCCTTGGAGATTCTACTGACAAGACACATGGTGCTACGCTGACAGACCCCGTGCCCTGGAAGCAGGGCACATGGATACCCTGCAAGCACTGAGATGCTTATGGCACCACTGATCCAAACACTTTCTGCCCACTGGCCTGTGACTATACTGCATTTGGCATCATTGATATATTTTGTGAGTCTGAAGAGGACTTATAGATTGGTATCAGACATAAGGGTTAAGATCAGGTTTATGGGCGGGGGCTGGATCAGACTGGGATATTTTCTCAATATTCAACTGCTCTTGTATATAAAGCTCTTTCTTACAATATATGTGTGTCCATGGATTTGTTTCTCTAGTTTACTCAGACTTACACACCAACTCTTGGTATGGATCGACAGTATGTGGAAGCTCATTTCTGTTGCATCTGGTATATTGACTGCCTGTTTTATCAACTGCCAGCTGTAGGAGCCATTAAAGGACTGCGGGCCTTGGATTCATTCAGCCAATCTTGGATTCATTTGGCTTTGCAGGCAAGAGTCTGTGACCTTCCTGCAGCTACACAAGTCAATAGAAGCCTTGAGTTTACATCTAACCCACAGACTTGTATTAGACTGACAACTCTGTGAGCTATTTTTTATGTAGATTTCTCTACATGCACATACACAAACAAGCATCACTGGTTGTGTTTTAGATAACCCAGCCTAAAATATTTTTTGGGTGGTCCTATGGAAGCAAAATTGTAAATATGACTTTTCAAAATTGGTCCTCAAGCCTGATTAGGCCTTAAGGCACTGAGAACTTGTCCTCAACTCTGTTAGTATGGATAATTAGTAAAGAGGGTGCAGTTCTAGTAAGACAACAGATTTTTCTGAAAACCAAATTCAGAGTCTAATATATGAGTAGCTTAATTACACCACCAACTTAATTCTTGAGTTAAAAAGATGACTGATATTAAGGTGAGGGAATTAATTGGTAAGAATGGGGCCTTGAAAGTTAGGATGGGGATATGAGATAATAATTCAAAAGATGGGGACTTTGATCCCCTGTGTTCCATTGGGCTACTGCAGCCACCAAAACCAACCCTCCCATCTGAAGAGGTTAATAAACTCTCAGTACATTCTCACCCACAAATATACTTGAAATCAGCCCAACTCTGCCTATTGATATGGCATTGGAGGCTGTACATGGGGCATTGCCTGAGGCAGACACCTCACAAGCAAGTTATTGCTTCAAGTTCCCAGGAAACATCCTCAACACTCCTTATTGTGTTTGGACTCTATAACTAATTTAAGTCACATCAAGTACCCAAAGATGAAGTCCAAGTGCTGACCCAGGAAGAGGCATGTTATAATCCTAAAGAACTGCTAGAGTTTTCCAATATGTACAGACATAAACCTGGAGAGAGAACACACGTGGGAATGGTTATTGAGGCTGTAGGTTAATGCAAGAAATGTAAGGTGGATCAATCTGATTGTATTGATATGAGCCCTCTATGCACAGATTCCTTATTTAAAGTTTCATCTTGATACTTACCTGGCAGGGGCAATACCATGATCACGAAGGTGGTTTTCCCATGGCGAGGCTGCTTATCCATTGCACAACGGATGTGCTGACCCCTTCGATTTCTCCAAATGTGGGAAACTCCACTGCATAATTTGTGGTAGTGGGGGACTGCATTCGTGCTCTCGCCAGGGGAAAAAAATAAAGTTTCATCTTGAAATGTTAGGAGAGGATCCAATTGTTTGTTTGTTTATCTATCTATTTATTCATTTGTCCACTGAAGCCTGAGTTGTGAAATGACCTAGTCAAATTGAAGTACAAGACCTACTTTGGTATATTATAGAAGAAAGTATTCGAAGGCTTAGGGAAATTGGCATGTTAGTGCGTATTTTTCAAGGTAAACCCGTAAGCACACAAATTAAGCACCTCCAGGACACCATTTTTAACAAACAGTAAGAAACAAATTTTGTGAAGGGAGTCCCAACTTCTTTGAAGACACCTGTGTGTTTCCTATTTTATGTCAGCCCCTGTCCCCACAGGACCCAATCAGTTCCACGGCAGGCTTAATTCACTCAGGGAAGTTCCAACTCTCATGCCTAGCTGACATAAAATAGCATCGACTGGTAAATGGATAAAGCAAATTGGCATATTCACAAACTAGAATACCATAAAAACTCAAAACTCACTGCCATTGAGTAGATATAGACTTTTAGTAACGCTATAGGACAAGGTAGAACTGCCCTACAAGTTTCTGAGAGGAGAAAGCCCCACCTGTCTCCTGCAGAGCAACGAGTGCTTTCCAACTGCTGACATTTCAGATGCTACCGGGACTCCTTCCTAGAATACCATGCAGCAATTAAAGGGAACAAATTAATGAACAGTGCTACATTAGCCATGAACCTCAAATATTGTACAGAGTCCAAGTCAGGCATGTGATCCAAAAGCAATGACCACTTTTGCAGTATTCTATTTATATCTAATGACCAGAAAAGGCAAATTTATAAACACAAAAACAGATTAGTGGCTGCCTAGAGCTTAGATGAGAAAAGGACATCTGGAATCTTTCTGGAGTGATAGAAATATTCTAAAAATAGATTTTAGCAATGCTAAAACTTCAGAAACATATTAAGAATAATTGGTTATATACTCAGAACAAGTTAATTTCATGGTCTCTACTCCATAGAGTTGTTTTACAAGTTGAAATGAGCCTACAAAACTTCCAGAATCGTTCTTGTGATCCAATTCAGGCTCACCAAAAGACTAAGATACCTTCGACTGGGAAAGCTCTAACATTGTGCTGTCAAAGGATTCATCACACAGAAATTTTGAACCCAAGTACAAATTAGTAAAAGCACCTTATTTTCCCTAAATTGTGTTCATTGAAGAATGGTTATGTATAAATGGGAATTTGATCCTGCCAGAAATCAGTGCTTCTATTCTGGAGTTTCTTAAATAGCATAAATGTTGTTTGTGTTACTTCAGTACTGTAAGCCCTGCCAAACTCAAGCATAAAGTTGAATATATAGCAAATGTTTCATGACTTATTAAGAAAGGTGATATCCAGATGATTCATGTATCACCAGGACTTTGTAGAACACTTTTTTTAAAAAAAGTCTCTTATTTTCTAAACAATTCTTGAGGTCAATCTAAGTGGTATAGAAATATTATCCCTAATTGTCCGTGGAAACATGCAAAGTTATCTAACATTTCCCATCTTTTTGATGGTTTGCTTATTTATTTGCAAACAAATTAAAGAGTAGTCCTACAACTGATTTTAACAAGGAGCCTAGCATTATTTTGTTGTTTTAACATAGTCGATACTTTCCCAGAATCTTTTTTTCACCTCCTACAAGGCTTTTGACAGATGTGAAATCACTGAACCTGGGGTAGTCCAGCTCATCTCCACTCGAATACAGCGGGAGCCAGACAAACCAAAATAAGAACCAATTGAGTGGGTTCTGGCTCATGGAGACCCTGTAGGACAGGGTTCTGTAGGTTTCCATGACTAAGCATTGTGGTATACAATTGCCACATTTTTCTGCTGTGGAGTAGTAATGGGCTCAATCTGCTGAGATGTTGGTTAGCTATTGAGCACTTAACCAAGGAGCTAGCTACCAGGGATCCTGATTACAACTGGAAACACAGTATTTTTAGGCTTTTAAAGTTTAAACTGATTATGAACTTACAAGCATTATTAATTTTCTTTATGTCTAAATAGTATATTGTCACTATTTAGAGGGGTTTCAGATAACTTAAAATACTCCCCCTCTTGCTTCTTTCTTTCAAAGAGCTGAATGTGATGGTTACAGGGTACTAGTTGAGCAAGTAGCATTTAAGGGTCCCAGATTTTCCTTGTCTAACTCATACAAAAAATCAGCAGTGTGACATACTTTAATGAAGATGTTATTCTCTTTTCAAATTTTATTTCAAATGTGTTTCTCTTTCAGAAGTTTGGCTCTTCCTCCGTGTTGCAGAAGATTAAACAAAGCATGTAAGCATATCTTACTACCTTACAAAGGCAGTAAGAGATTTAGTAGAAGGCATTTGCATCATCCTCCATATAGCATTCCTTCTGATAGATACTTGCTTAAAGCTGATTGACTCCAGTGGATTTTGAATTAATGTGAAGTGATTCCAGACTTGCTTTCAGGTGATTCACATCGACTTTGTGGGTGTGAGACTAGATGTCAGTTATTCCTTGTCAAGTTGCTTCCTAGTCATAGAGACCAATGAGTACAATGAGACCAGATTGTGATCAATAGGGCTTCATGTGGTTGATCAATAGGGTTTCACATGGTTGATCGGGTTTCACATGGTTGATTTTTCAGAAGCAGATAACCATCTTAGGCTGGAAGCTTGACTGGTAGCTGTTTAACACCTTAATGATAGGCAAGTAGGGACTATACTTAACACCAATAGGCCAGCAATCATTCCAGGTCTTCTAGATAAAAGCTGAAAATTCTACCATAGAACCACCACTACCATCTCCATACTGGATGGCACATTATCATCTAGGAAATGTGGACTCACAGTGACCCTACGGAGCAAAATGTTTCCAAAGCTGTAAAGGTTTATGGAAGTGGACTTCTTCGTCTTACTCCTGTTGACTTCTCAGTTAATAACCTAATGCTTAACTCAGTGCACCACCAAGTCTTTTAAGGAGAATTCTGTTGACTTTAAAAGGAGTCTTAAAGTCATTCAAATAAGGATTTTTTATCTACTATGACTTATTTTCTTCACCAGATAAAATTCATTTACCTTAATACAAGCAGGAATTATTTATTTGCACAGCTATGGATGTTTGACAGATGTGAAATCACTGAACCTGGGGTAGTCCAATAGTATTTGACTGTTAACCACAAGGACACCAGTTCAAACCCACCAGCCAATCTGAGAGAGAAAGATGAGACTGCTGCTATAAAGACGTGTAGCCTCAAAACCCTGTATAGGGTCACTGTGAATTGGAATTGTCTTGATGGTAGTGGGATTTAGGTTTGTTTTGGGGTTTTTTTCTTTGAATGGAAGTCTGAAGACCCATTTAATTCATTCTTTGAATTAAGTACCTAAAAGTAAACTCATTATAGAAATAATCTGAGAGGGAGATGTAAAGGTGAAACTGAGGTACAGGGAGAGGGACAGACATAACTGACGGGATAAGGGAAAACAGAAACAGAAATAGCTTTATTAGTGGGTAAGCTCCCCAACGAGGTTCCGTGACCTAGGCCAACAGGTCAGGGAAATTGTGCCCAGCAACTGGGGGTGCAGGTTTTTAAAGGGGTGGTGAGGAATATACGGCAGTTATGGCAATTAGCATATGGAGTCTGGAAACTCGGACAATTGCTTGTGGACTCCTTGAGGCTTTCTTTGAACCCAGAGCATCTGGTTTCACTAGTTATCTTATCTGGCGCCCTCTGCTGCTGACCTTTGGGATGTGCAGGGAAGCACGTGCAGGGCCCGGACCTGCTTCAGCTTAGTCCAATCAGGACTGCCTAGTTCGGACCCAGCCCAAACATTGCAAACTTCTTAATAGTGGTAATGGGCAACACGTTCTGTATTAACTACTTCCTGCTGAGATAGGGTAAGGAAGGGGGTGATTAAGAGTTGGAAGGTTCGGGGCCAGGTTGGTCAGCAGCGGGCTGTAAGAGTGGAAAAGTTGATTGAAGGTCAGGTTGGAGATATTTTTCATTCATTCATGCAAAACTTTAAACACACACGGAGCTAAAAGCAATTGTACACAGATTATTTTCAGAGGTCTTATGAGGTGCATGATCCAGGTCATGACAGGACTTTGAAACCATGAGGAAGGGCTGGTGGTGCCCCACTGACGTTTTCTAATTTTTTCGGCCATGCCATGACGGTTTTGAAGAGTTACCCGTGCCAGGAATGTAAGGTGTTGCTGCAAGGAGGTAAAAGTCTCCAAGGTGGAGTCTACGACCAGCTGGAGTTGTCTGTTAAAAGTTTTCTGTTTGGAGCTTGCTGTGGTCTAAGGTTCTACTAGAAATCTTTGCCACTACCAGGGAGGAGGCAAAACTAAGGTTTACTAGGACAGGTGGGAATACAGCTAAGTTTTTCCTTTCTAGCCTTGATTTATTATCATAATAATGGCATTCTTGAGCTGTTGCTGTAGGGAAGCTAGAGAGACTGGCATGGATTGGGAATGCTGCTCTTCTCGACCTTCGACCTTCGGGTGGGGAGTAACTATGATAATTCATACTGACCATATAGGATGAGCTGAAGAATTACATACAGTAACTGGAAAACAAGGATTCTGTGGAAAAATTTACACATTTAGTTATTTGCTCAGCTGAAGTTGGTGGTTGGAAGTCCTTTATGACTTAGTGTTTATTTAGAGTTAAACTCTGAGTGGTGGGGGTGGGGCACAGTTTTAAACAGATAGCAGTGGAACAAGATAAGTGTGTCTTGGAGGGAGAGAGAAGTTAAGGGAATTGGGCTGTGTCTGCTTTAGAACTGTTTTAGGAGGGGCCTCAGGTAAAGGCAAACAAATGCTGAGAAGCTGGGTTAAGGGGCATGGTGAAAAAGGTATAGTGGAGGGGGTAATGTGGGACAAAGGAGTACAAGTGTGAGGAACTACCAGGTGTATGGGGGTAACAGCTTTGTTAATGAGGCGCAGGTCCTGGACCAAGCAATAAGTACCATTTGGTTTCTTACTGGTAAGATTAGAGTATTGCAGG